TGGATTGCATGTTGATTTTGTTGGATTACTAGTTGCGCGTTCTTTTGTCGTTTCGGTTATCGTATCGTTTTTCCGCTTGGGTTTTCGCTCATTCATTTCTTTTGTGGGGTCTTGTCGTGTGCTATGCACCCTGACGTACACCTGTTTTCTCTGGTGTACGTCAGACTTAGAGGAAGAACAGGTTCAGCTGGGAGAACACCAGTAGCCAGAAGATTCTCAGCAGGAGTGCCTTGCAGACGTAGCAGAAGAAGAAGCCGAAGCTTAGTCATTCCTTTCAGTTTGTTTTGTAGCACTTTCATTTCCTTTTGATCATTGTATTTTTATATTCTCTAGTATTTCATTCAGATAGTTTTGTATAAGGGCATGTTGACCCGAATATTATGTCTGGGATGAATATTCATTTGTGATATGTATTATTTTATTCTGAGTTTGTCTATTATATTCTTGCTGATTGTGATCGGGGACCTGTGACTTCGCATTGTATTTATTTCTAGACGCTTAGCATATTGGATTGAGAAGAAAAGAAAAAGAAAGAAAAAATGATAGTGTATATTTATTCTCAATCTAATACGTCGCGGGCTTGTTCACGTTCTGATTCCCGGGTATTTTGGGAAGCGGGGCGTGACAATCTAATACGTCGCGGGCTTGTTCACGTTCTGATTCCCGGGTATTTTGGGAAGCGGGGCGTGACAAAACCTTCTCTTCAATGTCATTTGGCTTGCCATCTAACTCCAAGGTATCCTCTAAATTCTGCGCGTTCAGCGCATCCAAAACCTCGCATCTCCATAATCCAAAGTTGTTTGTGACATTAAATTTTTGCACCTCTATCTTCATAGAGTGGATATTCAAACTCTAAATGGTCTTCGCGCCAGAAGCACCACCCTCGACACCCGAAGCACATTCTTTCCCCGACATCTTTCTCAACGTACCAACGAACGAAGAATAGATCCAAAACTAAAAAGATAGAGTCTTTTACCAAAAAATCTGACCTTTATCACCAAACGAAGCCCTAGACGAGCCTCCAAATTGATCTACCCCTCCAAATAGCCCAAGCGTAGTCCGAGCTCTGATACCACTTGTTGTGCGTAGTGAAAATTTCGGCAGAGTTTCTGGTGCACAATAAGAGAGAAAGATCAATAAGAATTCTCATCTCACCAATGAAACAAGAATCTGAAACGAATATCTCAACAAGGTGAGATATCGGCTCTTCCTCTCATCAGTTCTAGGACTGACTTGACGAGGGATCCTAAAACTATTACAATGGCCACAAACTCAAAACAAACCAATTTTACGTGGTTCAGCGAACTTCTTACGTCCACGGGGCAAGGAGGGGGAGATCTACTATTAGAGAGAGAGATACAACTAGGGTTTACAATCACTCAATCTAAACTCTCACATAATTATCTCTCTCAAAAGCACAAAAAGATTACATAGAAAACTCCTCTCAAAGTCGGCGGCTTTTCCCTTGCTACAGCCGAAGCCGAAATTTTCTGCGCCTGTCCTTTTCCGCCCCCTGCTCTGCACTTGCTCAACTCCTTTCTGCAGCCGCCAAAAGATCCTGCACCCACTCAATTGCACCACAAACCTAGGTCCGAACACAGCACATATATATAGTTGTTAATTGCTTTTGGGTGGGCCTTGTCTTTCGGGTTCGCTGCTGTTCACGTGGCCTCCACAAGCACACCCTCTGCGATCTCTTCACGAGTCTTCTTTTCATGCGGTTTCTTCTCATCATTATGGCCCCCACTCCACTTACGTGCTTCATAGAAAGATCTTGGATTTTTGCTCTAGGGTGGGTTGATTTAGGGTTAGGGCTAGGATTTTGGGGATATTCGGTTCGCTTGGACAGATGAGAGAAAATAGCACATTCGACGACGAGATGTGTTTTGAGTAGTGGGTGGTGGTTAAATCAAATGGCATTTTGGGAATTGTTTTTTCAAACCGGGTCACTTGGGAACTGGGTTTGGGGGCTAAAGACAATTGCATTTTGGGGATGGGGGCTTTAGAGGCTTTGAAAAAGTATTGGAGGGGAGAATAGATGAAGTTATTTTGGGGGCTAGAAGCAATTTTTCCTTTGAGATATCATTCTTTACCCGAATTATGTTATCAAAATCGATCTTTATTGTAGGGCCCTCTCTCTCTTTCGGCATGCTTTCAATTGAGGCCTATTTATTATTTACCTTTTAAAATCTTGGATTATGTAACTACATTATGCTGATTAATTGATTATAATTTTCTACATTAAAAGTTTATGAGAAATAGCTATGGATAAAATGATTATTATCCATGCATATTGAATAGTGTCAACGGGTGAAGCTATGTGACAACAAAGCGCTTTTTCACTCCGTTGAGATCTCAGCCGTATGTCCTTTAATCAAGCTAGGATCAAAACAGCCATTAAAAACAAAGCTAATCATGTTTCATATTTGCTATGTATTGTGAACAAAACCACGACAAGTACATAACCGATCTGAACCGACCGCACCAAATAGGTGTAGTAGTCTGGCGCGGTTTCAAAACTGAAGGCGGTCGGTTTCGGTTTGGCCAATTTTGATCAAAACTGAACCGCCGGACCAAATACTCAGCCCTAGATATTACATATGAAATATATGTTTTAATTTTAAAAAGACATAATACAAATTTGGTAATACCTCGATTTACAAAACCTCTCAATCTAGAAGATTAACTTGATCCCCCTCGGTTTTAGGGGGGTGTTTGGTTCAATTTCTACAAATTATAGGAAATATTTTCCACCAAAAATATGATTTCCTTGTATTTCTTTAAAAAATTATAGAAAACGTTTTGAGAAGTCAAAAAGTATCAATTTTCTTGTTTTTTTACTTTACTTGTTTGGTTCAAAACAAGAAAATGGCCCATAACTTTATAGAAAATAGTAAGATTTTCTATAATTCGTAGAAATTGAACCAAACACCCTCTAATTTTATAAAAAATGTCAACTTTATAGAAAAGCGTCGATGTGGTGTCAGATTTTTGGGTGATTTCCGCCCATTTTAAGAGGAAATTAATTTCTGTAAATTTTAATACTTTTTTGTACTTTACAGAAAATATTTCTGTAATTTTTTTGAACCAAACACAGTTTATGGAAATCTACAAAAAAAAATTAATTACAAAATTGTCATTGTCAGACATTTTGAAAAAACTGTTTAATAAAATTGTGCAACCAAACACCCCCTTAGATCCGATCTAAGACCGACCGGCGGCATGACGAACGAACTCCGAAGAGAAAACTCAAATCTTGAATCTCACTGTCGCTGAATCCTATCGAATCCGATCCGTTGCTTTTGTAGACAAATCAATCATCGTTCTTAGGCGTGTTCATCTCGGACGCGGATTTTCTCCGTCCACCTGAGCGTCACGAGGGTTGTATTTTTTTAATATTATATTTCCGCGTGGGTTTTTTTAAGAAAAATTCCTTGGGGATCCCAAATCATGGGACCCAAGGGGGGACAGGTGAGGTGTCAACCCCTGGGATGCATGATCTACTGTTCATGAACAGTAGATCATGCACCCAGGGGTTGACACCTCACCTGTCCCCCCTTGGGTCCCATGATTTCGGATCCCTGTAGAACAACTCATTTTTTTATACAAATGTAGAGTACGGTGTTGATGGTTGTTGAGTGGGTGTTTGTTTCAAATCCTATAATTTTAGGATATAGATTTCACAATATGATTTAAAATTCATAGGTTTTTTAATATGGGTTGAGATTTCTAAAATGTTGTTTATTTCATCAATATTTTAGGATATATTATTCTATAATTTGTATTTTGTTTGTTTCAAACTCAAATTGTAGCATTAAAATTTTAGAATTTGAAATCTAACCTAAATCCTCTCTCAAAAAGGGGGTTTCACAAATGCTATAATATATTAGTTTTTTTATTATTTGGGTATTCAATATCCCAAAATTTATTTTGAATCAAACAAAGTTTATGAAATCCATAAACTCAAAGAAACACACTTTTTTATCCTAGAATTTGTAATTCACCCTATATCGCAAAAAATATATAATAATAATAATAAATAAATAAATAAATGAAACAAACACCCCCTGAGTGTTTTCAGAATGGTAGAGTGTTGTCGGATAATAGCAATGTTTTACTTGATAGTGGGCAACAGGCCCATGAGCACCACAGGGATGAAGAACTTCAAGAGAGAAGAGAGAGGTCGTGTTGTTTCACTGTATTGTTTTTAGTAACACTTATATACCCTAAAATTAGGGTAAATGGCACTTATATACCTTATTGTTTCACCTACTTTTTTACTTATATACCCCCAATTATATTTGATAGTAAGATAATAACCTAAAAATTTTTAAACTTGCACTTATATACCTTCACTTGTTTTTTATAATACTTATATACCCTAAAATTTTTAAATTTGGCACTTAAATATACTAAAATTTTTAAAACTAACACTTAAATATCCTATAATTTTTAAAACTTGCACTTAAATACCTCTCAAGTTTGCATAACCGAGGGTATTTATTTACAATTTTTAAAAACTTCAGGGCATTTAAATGCCAATTGCGAAAACTTAAGGGTGTTTAAGTGCCGCAGGAAAAAAGTGAGGGAGTATAAGTGCAAGTTTAAAAAACTTTGGGGTATTTTCCTGCTACCAAATACAAGTGGGGGTATGTAAGTGAAAAGTAAGTGAAACAATATGGTATGTAATTGCTCTTTAGCCTAAAAATTAAGATTCTAAATCCAGCATGTGACGTCTGCATAACTCACTTAACGTAAAGGGCAAAATGTAAACAAAACGTAAAAATTTTGAATATAAGTGAGGCACAAGGGAAACTATAGGGTATTTAACTGCAATTAAGCATAAAAATAACAATGTTTGTTTGATTTATTACAATGGCTTTCACTTTCTTACCTGAGTGCAGGGAGGACGCATGAGAAGACCAAGAAAAAGAGTACTAATTGCAGAATAGTTTACTGTCTTATATTGACAACTGAGGCACGAATTTAATGCAGTAAAATACACCAGCATACAAGTTCCATAACCTTATTACTCAAAGAATGAAAAAAGATATTAACAGCAAAAGTAGCACGAAGAAATGTTAACACGCAATTAAATACCAATTGTTAAATAGCTTGCTAAAAACTAGCTACATGCACCGATAAACATACTAATAGATAATATACAGACGCACACGCACACAAATTTGCATATACAAGAAAAAGACACAGAATTAAACTAAGTAGAGTTTAGGATGGAGGAGATTCAGCACCATCATGGAGAGCGCAGCAGACTGTAGCCTTGTGATGGCCTTGGTATACTCTTATGGCTTCTCCTGTTGACATCGCCCACAATCTTGCGGTTGTATCAGAAGAAGCTGCATATCATGACAACTCGTAGGTTTTCGAATTAAAGTTGTGAATATAACCTCATCTAGAAAATTGAATCCGGAATGATGTATTTAATTTGGCTTACCTGTTATTAAATAAGCACCATCAACAGAGAACACGCAGTCCCAGACCCAGCGCTGATGACCTGAGAATTAATGTGTATTCATGATGCATAGCTTAGAATCTAGCATTAGAAACCATGAGAGACACGAAGCATAGCTTAGAGTTTTTTTTCACCTGTTAAAGTTTTCTCCAAGGTGAAACCATCGACATTCCATATCTTTACAGTGTTATCTGATGATGCAGTTGCGAGATACCTAACGAAAGGATCCCATGAGCTTGTGGCAGTAAAACAACAAATACACAAGAACTGGAACTCATTATCCTTTTCATTTGTATTGGTAGAATAGATATAAGTAGTCATATGATAATATGTTCCCAATATATTAGTTCTGGATCTTTGTTTCTTTGAGCAAATTGTTTAACCATTAGAACTGATTCAGCAAGTCAAGATTAAATACCTGTTAGGATCACAGAATTCCGGTGAAAGCAGACATTTTAAAATGTATCCATCATGTGCCTGTAGCTTATGAAGGGGCTCAAAGTAGGTCATTGTCTGCGGTGGATAACATGACACATAGAAAGTTATCTCACAAGAAAGGAAGAAATAACATGAAAATAAGTGTTTTTGATTATTTGTTCCCTTTTAACCGGAAAAACCTTTACAAAACCAGATGAAATTCAAGCCAGATTTTTCTTAACCAGAATTTTCTTAACCTAACAAAAGAGTAAAATGGAGATACCTGTGTTCCCTTGAGCAACCTCCAAACGTAACATGTACCATTATTGTTAGCAGCGACGACCATGCTACCATCCCACATCACTGTTAGAGACCTTACAGCTGTATCCACCTCAGGGACCTGCACCCAACAAGTTTTTTAGTTAAAAACAATAGGAAATAGCAATATTATACCAAAAATAAAAAAATGATAAAGAAAACAAAGGCTTCAACCAGAATGTAATGAATTTATATATGTACTTACCAGCTCACAGCTGCATGAGTTTGCAGTCAAATCCCACACGCGAATGTTTCCATTTTGATCACCTGATATTAGTTCAGTCTGCAGGAATGAACTCAGTAAACTATATGAAGCATCTTTATTCACAGTGAAAAACAGCTGGAATTTGGAATACTCTACATAAAGAACATGAATTCTGCAAGAGGACATAGTTTAGAACGTATTCACATGCAGTATGTAGTATGCTTGAAAATAGGGGACACCTAACTACAATTTCACTGGAGGAGCCCAATTTGGATCCTCTCCACTACAAAAAAGTAGTGGGCTTTTAATCCCAACCATTAACTATCTAGTGGGTGATTGTGATACATATTAAATCTTACACTCACCGCGCACATGTGTATTGTACTCAATCCTAATTTGCATTCCAAGAAAAAATCATAACCACCCAATAGATAATCAATGGTTACGATTAAGTATAAGTAGTGGTCCCTCTACTAGTTTTTTTGGTAATGGAGAGGATCCAAATCCTAAGGAGCCTGTTGTTTGGCTTTGATTATTTCAAACTAAGATTCAAACACAGATAGATGATGGTTTCGATCAACAAATAGGGTTCTTCACAGGGTAATGGAGATTTCATCAAGGAATAAGTACTTTCAGTGAGTAATATTAGGTATTATCTTTTGATAGAAAGGAATACTGTTGGGACCTTGTAGTGGGAGTTGGTCCGATTAAGCTTCACATCTATTTACATGTTGAAACCATCTATGCGTGAGACACAATCTATGTCTTTCATTTTTCTATTTATGAGACCAAAGACAGGATGTATTACGATGAAATACTCTTTATTTTAGGAGGACTTAACATCGCCTGCAATCACGATTAAAGGAAATAGCTTGCCCTCCTGGCGATACAGGAAATTCAAGGGGATGGCTATAGGCACACTTTATATTTTGTCATAGTGAAATAGCAATGTTCAAATGACCATATATAACAAAGAATTTATTGTAAATTAAATCAAAGTTTCACTCTTCAAAACTTGGCATAAAACACATATCCAGATTTGGAAAGAAGCTCCAAAAGCAAAACCTGATTTGGATGCAAGACGACTGTATTGACAGCTCCACGGCTTTCATATTCTCGTTGACAAGTTGCTGCCCTGAAAGGAATCAATAAAGGCAGGATGCACAAATAATTAGGACCACAAAGCTAATGACACAATTAATAAGACAGTATAAAAGAATGAACAATAATAAGCGAACAAGAGTGCTAAATTCATCCAAAAGAATAAATTACTGAAAACTTTTACAAAATTGTTTATGGAAAAATACCCCTAACCCTTATTTACAATATATTGTAAATCAGGGTCAGGGTTTTTTTTATAATTTTATTTTTATACAATAATAAATGTTCCCTATATATGATTTTGCCTTTAGCACATATTGACAAAAACCAAAGTATGTAAAATATGATTTCACATTCTAAATTTAGAGTTTAACTCCAGATTTTAAACTGCACTAGTAGACACACTAGCTGAAATTGAGTCACTCATTTCGAAGCAAGGTGGTAGCCTGGATCTCTAAGCCTTTAATCACACAAGACTATGCAGGACACAAACAATTTGACATATAACATCAACTGCCCAGTGCAAAAACCTGACAAAGCATTCTAGTTCATGTAACATAAACTGTGTATTGCACATTACAGGAGTAAACAGCATACCAGATGATTCCTAGTATATTTATATAACATCAGTCACCTTGTTCGAATTGGCAAAGTTTTTTCTTTTCTTTTTCTTTTTTGCTTTTTGTGCCCTCCAATAATAGTCCTATGCACAAAGAAGATCCAAGTTTTGTCCTAGACAGTATATGGAATCTAAAACAAGCCAAGCCTGATACCTCAAATCCCAGATCTTCACTGTGCCGTCTTCAGAACCTGTGTACATCCAGTTTCCATCACACTGAAATCCAACCGCCATAACATTGCTAGTATGTGAATCATAGCTTAAAACCTGAAATCATATCATAAACAAATAAGAGAGATAGAAGCAAAAGGACACTGTTGTAGAAAGGGTATAAAGAGAACATCATTCTTAAGACTACACAAATATACCGGCTGTGGGCTGTTCGAGTTGACATCAAAAAGACGAATGTGAGGGTTTCCAGCCGCAGCCAAGAATCGCTTGTCAGGGGTTATTTCAAGACGATTAACTTGCTGCAACAAAATATAAGATAATGTGAGTTAGGTTTATAAGACAGTTTAATCATCATCAGACTAAGACGTCACATAAAATGTGTAATCAAGGGGTTAGTGGATGCTAGAAGTAGGATTTGAGCTGACTACAGTGAAATAATGTATGACACAAGATCGACTTTATTTCATAGGAACCAAAAATAAATAAATAAATAAGTTCACTTCCCAGTGGTGCTCTGCTCAAGTTCGACATACACATGCAGAAGGGGGAAAACTGAATGTCAAAACTCACTGAATCCGGGTATTGAAGAGTGCGGTAACACCTCCCGCTTTTGGCTTCCCAGAATCTGATTGTATGATCATAACCAGCAGTTGCAAGAATCACTGACGGATGACTCATCTTAATCTCCCTACACAAGATACAGATAAATAACTTCATACAGATCCACAGGAAAATTTGTGCCTAAATGCAAGTTACCATTGCTGAACACTAGATAAAATACGAACTTTTCAAATGGAGTACCTACGATGTGCTAGAAAAGTGTAAGCAATAACCTTTCACCATCCGAAAATTGCCACACCACAGAATCATGATTATTTTAAGGAAATCCTCTTATTAAAAAGTTTCAAGAAAAATATACTGGAAATGAGTTGGGTCAAACTATATTCGCATTGAAACTAAAGGTTTGATGCAAAAATTTCATTTTGAGAAGAAATCTAACCTGAAATCAGCAACATATCTGTAAAGACTTTTGTATGGAAAATTTTCCCTTCACATAAAACATTCAAAGTTAATTTACTTTAGTTGTAAGCTTAATTAGCAATTATTCCAATTCCAATCTACAACTACTCAACCTTCTACCACAATAAAGGCCTCTTGGGGTAATTGAGTAAAACCTAAAATTACAGGGATTTGTAAAATTTACTGCGCATCACAAGAATATGTACTCAAAGAGGCATTTCGTCAAACATTTCAAGGGCACATATAAATGGCAGTAAAATAACAAGCTAACCCATTAGAGCCGACAGAGGGGAAATAATTAACAATGGGTCGATTTTAATTGCGTAAAATACTAAAAATTTTGAAGTGTGAAGTTGAGTGGCTTATCGAGTTGATGAAAGTTGAGAGAGTACAATAGCGAGCAGCTTAAAGCCGTACGGACCTGAGAGTGTCGGGGGAAGAGGACGGAGCGGAGCGAGGGAGCGATCTATGGAGGGAGGACACGTGTCGGTATTCCCATGGACTGGAAGAGGTTTAGCCAGGTCGCCCGCGTTGATCGACGAGGAAGAAGAAGGGTTTGTGAAGGAAAATTGTTTAACAAGGGAGTTATTGAATAAATGGGGTAAAATTATTGGGGGTTATTTAGTATTAGTCCCTTCCATGATTCCGTCTCCAATATTTCCAATTGACTCCCTCAAGTCATGGAAATTGCTATTTAGTCCCCCATATCTTCACGTCGCTTGCGATTAGGTCCCTCTGCTTAACAACAATTAGATCTAAAGGAATATTCCTTAAAATCTGACTTTTACTGGTGAGTTCCCTACTATAACCTTGGTTTTTAACCTTATGAAACCTGCTGATGCCAGTTATCAGACACGAGTTTATTTGCGAATTAGATTAGAGTTAGGGTTTTCAAACTCCTTCAGATGACTGACTCCGTAGATCGTTGTTCTATGTTCTTCCCTGCACATAAAGAACTCATGAGAGGCCGAAGTTGGGTTCTCTGGTTATTCCTCCGACGATCAAGTCGGTGTTTGAACTTAAGTGGAAAAATATAGTGATAGGAATTGTTCGGAGTCACATGAAAGCAGAAGAAGTTACCTCATGCAGTGCAACTCCCTTTTATAGTAGATCGAAAGGGCATGAAGGTAACTGTGGTCGAGTCCAGGCAAGCAGTTGACTCGACAGGTGTCTCTACAGGTGTCGGCTGTTGAAGTGGGTGAGTCATCCTTGATTGGATATGAGGATGATCGAGGACGGTTGGTGAGTGATGAGTCATGAGGGCTCGTGGCACCAGCTGTGATGAGGAGGGGCAGCTATTGGTGTGGATTTCGAGGACGCACCGCTTCTTGACTCGGCTCTGAGAGTGATACGAAAAGTACCGTCTTTTTTAGTCAGCGTCGAGAGTTGTCAACTGAGATAGTGGGCCGAGTGTGGAGGCTTGTGGGCTCAATCTGATAGGTAGGTCAGCAAGTACCGCATTTCGGGTCGATCATGTAAGTTGTCGGCCTATGGAG